TTTCTACTTCTAATTACAGCAGTCCCTTTAACATTTCCTGCAGTGCTGGTTTGGTGGTGATAAACTCCTTTAGCCTTTTTTTGTTGGGGAAACTCTTTATTTCACCATCTATTTTGAATGATAGCTTTGCTGGATAGAGTAGTCTTGGTTTCAGATTCTTATTGTGCATTACCTTGACTACTTCATGCCATTCCCTTCTGGTTTGTAGAGTTTCTGATGAGAAGTCAGCTAACAACCTTATGGGAATTCCTTTGTAGGTAACAGATTGCTTTTCTCTTGCTGCCTTTAATATTCTCTCTTTGTCTTGAATTTTTGGCATTTTAATTATGATGCCTCTTTGGATTCTTGCTTGGGACTCTCTGTGCTTCCTGAACTTGTGTGACTTTTTCCTTCACCAGGTTAGGGGAGTTTTCTGTCATTATTTCTTAAGATTCTCTAACCTTTGCTTACTTTCAACCTCTTCTGGCACTCCTATGATGAGAATATTGTTCTATTTCATGTTGTTCCACAGCTCCCTTAGACTGTCCTCCTGTGTGTTTTTTTAAATATATCTTTATTGATTTCAGGGAGAGGAAAGGAGAGGGAGAGAGAGAGAGACAGAAACATCAATGATGAGAGAGTCATTGATCGAGCCCGCAACCCGGGCATGTGCCCTGACCAGGAATTGAACCCCGATCACCTGGATCCCAGGTCGACGCTCAACCGCTGAGCCACGCCCGGCCGGGCTGTCCTCCTGTTTTTTAATTGTTTTTTCTTTTTGGATCTCTGATTGAGTGATTTTTTTCTACCCTATCTTCTAATTCACTGATCTGATCCTCAGCTTCCTCTAATCTGCTGTTTATTCCAATGTATTCCTTATTTCTGACTGGTCATTTTTCATAGTTTCCATATCTTTTTTCATGTTGTTGAACATCCTTAAAATCAGTATTCTGAACTCTATATCTGATAGATTGCTTATATCTATTTTATTTACCTCTTTTTCCAGAGACTTCCTTGTTCTTTCATTTGGGGCTCGTTTTTTGGTCTCTCCATTTTGGCTGCCTATTTGGGTTTGTTTCTATATATTAGATAGGCCTTCTAAGACAGTATTTTTGGAACATCTCTGGTGCAGGCCAATGTCAGACGCTGTTTGTGACTGGCCTTTAGAACGCAGTTTGGAGCTATCAACAACCGACGGCTTGAGGCACCCTCTGTTGGAGCTGGGTGCATTTGGACAGCACCAAGACGCACACCAAAATTTGCTTTTCCAAGGCCTGGTCCAGAAGCAGATCAGGCAAAGCCTCAAAGTACTCTCCAGTTGATATGTTTCTTAAGTTTCTTTTAAACTGTAAGTTTCCTCTCATATCTTTTTTTATAATTGTTGAAGAAAATGGTCTTTTGTCCTGTAGAGTTGTTCAAAGTGTAGATTTTGTTCATAGAATCATTTAATATGCTTGTCCGTGCTCTCTGTTTCCAGTAAGTTAATAGTTAGATTTAGGCTTAATCAGAATCATTTGGTTGAGGGGATTGGAGGCAAGAATACTTTATAGCAGCATTGTGTTCCACCAAGAGGTATGTAATGGTCTTCTGTCTCTTGTTTTGTTTGATGGTAGCCATTGATAAACTTTACATAGATCTGTAATGCATTAGGAGTAGCAAAATTCTGATATTTTATCATTCCTTTCTCATTTTTTTAAAGCTGGAATATGTCTGTAAAGAGAAATTTCCTTTTCTTAACTGTATGATTACCTTGAGATATAATTTTAAAATACAGATATTATGGAACAAAGGAGTCAGTTTCACAAAAGATATATAAGGCAAACTAATAGGTTTTGGGTGTCAATGTGAGATAGCAATACCTTTAAAGTAACTTAGCAACTCCTTAATAAACATTCAAGACATTAAGATTGCATGGGAATATAAATCTTCAACTAAAAAAATTCTGACATTTACAAATAAGAGTTAAGAAAGCCATTCTTTAGCATAAAAAATAGTCAGTCAAGCTAATATTCATTTCCAAAATATATACTGCCATTACAAACAAACAAAATCCCCTTTTAAAAATAAGGTGGTAAAATGCACATTGGACCAAAATATCTTATGTCTTTATAATAAACTCCTGAGCCATCCCTTTGCTTTTGTTATGGTGCTTCTCTTGGTATCTTTCAGTGATTTCTCCCTTATTTTCTCCAACCTCTTGCCATTAACTGGACCTAATTCAGACCTGAGTTTTAAAATACTTTCTTCAGTAAATAAAAAATAATGTTCCATGTTGTCAGTTCTAAAATGAGTCAGCATCCAGAACATGAAGACCAGGATACCCTTACTTAGTTCTATAGTATGGAGATATAGGAGAGGAATCTGGGTCTAGAAGTAGGTAGTTTCATACTTTATTCCAATAAAATAAACAATATTTAACACTTGGAGATATCCAGACGTGTTTAATGTTATCAACAGAACTACTTTTATTATTATCTGTTCTGTGTTACTGTATTAACAAAATAATCCCAAGTTAAAAACACACGTGCACACACAAGTGAGCAAAATTTGTCCTTCAGGGGGGAAAAAAGCCAACCTTTTTATGAGGCTGAAGGATTTGAATGAGACAGAATAATAAGTTTGCTAACAATTGAACTTTTCTTTTTCTTTTTTTTTAATATATCTTTATTGATTTCAGAGAGAGGAAGGGAGAGGGAGAGATAGAAACATCAATTATGAGACAGAATCATTGATTGATTGCCTCCTGCATGCCTCCTACTGGGAATCGAGCCTGCAAGCTGGGCATGTGTCCTGACTGGGAATCGAACTGCTATCTCCTGGATCATAGGTCGATGCTCAACCGCTGAGCCAAGCTGGCCAGGCAACAACTGAAAATTTTTAAATACTGAGATTCGTTACTGAGTTAGGTTTTAGAATCTTCTTTCTTTTTTTCTTTTTGATCCTTAACTGAGGATATGCCTTTATTTTTTATTTTTTAAAATATGTTTTTATTGATTTTAGAGAGAGAGGAAGGGAGAGGGAGAGAGAGATAGAAACATTGATGAGAGAGACACATCAACATCCATTGTCTGCTTCCTGTACGCCCCTTGCTGGGGATGGAACACGAAACCCAGGCATGTGTACTGATTGGGAATCCAATCAGTGATCTCTTGGTGCATAGGTTGATGCTCAACCACTGAGCCACACCAGCTGGGCAGGATATGCTTTTATTGACTTTAAAGAGAGAAGAAGGGAGAGAGAGAGAGAGAGAGTAACATTGATTGGTTGCCTCCTGTAGGTACCCCAGCTGGGGACTGAACCTGCAACGTAGGTGTGTGCCCTGACCAGGAACTGAACCCACAAACTTTTTGGTGTACAGGACGATGCTCCAATCAACTTAGTCACCAGGCTGGGGCTGGTGGATGTATTTGAAGTAGGCTAAACATTTGTACTCTAGCATTGGGCAAAACCACTTGTTCTTCTCTTCTGACACTTCTTACTGGTGGTTGTTTTTTGGATTGGTGTTTTTTTTCTTGGAATGGTCAGGTCTGAGATTTGGGTTTGAGTTTTAGGGGGGATAAGTAGGCCTGCTTAGGCCTGGGCAAAAGGCTCTCCAGTACTGCATTCTGGAGTTCTGCAATAGGGTCTGTTCTCTGTGCATGTATGACCCTTGGTGGTCTCAGAGGGGGAAATGGTCTAGGGCAGGATTTGGATTTTCTTGGCCCTAGCCTGATACTTAATGTCACCACAAACTGATCTCAAGTAGGTTGAGGCCATGGCCGGTGTGGCTTAGTGATTAGACTGTTGCCCACACACCTGAGGGTCGCGGGTTCAATTCCCAGTCAAGGGCATGTACTTTGGTTTCACATTGATGTTTCTCTTTCTCCCTTCCTCTCTTCCACTCTATCTAAAAATCAGTGGAGGCATACCCTTGGGTGAGGATTAACCAAAACAACAACAAAAAAGTAGGTCAGGAGATTGGAATACTATCTCAGCTATATATTACATTTATCTGTAATATCTGTTGTTCCCCAACACCCCACTACCACTATCACCATTTTAGGTAACTCCCAGAATTCTGAGTGAATTTTTTTCTGCTCCTGCACTGTTTAAATTTTCTAAAATGAACATGTTTCACTTTTTTTGAAGTCAACTTAAAAAAAAAAAAAGTAGACCATAATTAATTCTTATCTATGTAGAACTAGTTTAGTTTGCTTTGAATGGAAAGGAAAGAGGCTAGAGACTGTATAACTCTTAAGTACAATTCTGTAGTAAGGTGGCAAAAAGAACTTTTAACTTAGGTAAGAACAAAGGTTTATGACAAGATACCAAGGTCTAGGGAAGGACCTTAGACAAAAGGTTTATAGTCTTGAGTAGGGAGGAAGCAGATTAGACATAAATACTGCTGTGTATTCAAAAGTAGAGCTTGACAAAGCTAAAACTCTTTTTAAATATTAACTTTTGACTTGATTCAGTAATCCCATGATATGCACATTAGTATATCATACGGTGGCAAAAGAGAAAATTATTTGTTGGTGCCGAGAAATAAAATTCAGGAATAAGTAATCCCCTTTGGTACCTTGTCACCCTTTACTGTAGCAGCATAAGCAGCCTATAAGTGACTATGTGAGTTTCTTAGGGAAAGTAAATTGGTTACCAGTGCTCTGGAACGTGGAAGGTGAGTCCAAACGAGTAAGATAAATCCAAACTAATCTGATAAGTTAGATCAGAACAATTCTAAGCTTGAAAACGTTTTTTGGGTATCACTCTTCTTGCCAAGATAAAATATTATATTTTAAAAGGGCCCTTCTACTATGTTAGAATATTCTTTTTAAGATCTTAGGAAGCCATTTTTCAGGAAATGGAAAGCTTTTTTTTTTTAAGTGCTGAGCCCTTTAGTTCTGGGGAGTCACAAGTTAGGCCAGATGCTCAGAAGAAAATGATAAATAATAAAGTGTGAATTATGAATTCCCTTTGTTGCCAGAAGTAAAGGGAAAGGAGTTATGGGGGTGTTTGTCAAAAGTTCTCATTTTCTTTCGTAGGTGTGGCGTTTCCAGAAGAAACAAACAGATCTCCTCATTGCCTTTTATAAGCATAGAATTACAAAGTTAGAAGCAGCCATGCAGGAGGCACAGCAAACAGTGACCAGACAGAACAAGTAAGTCGCAGATGAAATCACCAGAGAGCTTCTTTCTTTCAGAGAAGCTTATAACCCTCAATTCCATATGGTTGCAAAGACTGAAAATTGTTCCATGTGTGTTTGTTTATCTTGGGCAAATCAGGTACAGAATTTTTTGGTCCCCTCAATCTCATTTTATTTTCTTCTTTCTTCCCTCAAGGGCCCTCCTCATTTTATAGCTTTCCTGTCCGACTTACTACCCCCCCTCCCCCCCCAATCAAAAACTGCTTTTTCAGAGAAATCAGGCATAGCTTTTTCACAGTGATAAAGATAAGGGACAGTATTTAAAATGTTACTTCTATGCAGCCACTATGGAAAGCAGTATGGAGTTTCCTCAAAAGATTAAAAATGGACCTACCATTTGACCCAGTGATCCCACTTCTAGGAATATATCCTAAGGAACCCGAAACGCCAGTCAAAAAGAACTTATGCACCCCTGTGTTCATAGCAGCGCAATTTACAATAGCTAAGATCTGGAAACAGCCCAAGTGCCCATCAGCAGATGAGTGGATAAAAAGCTGTGGGACATTTACACCATGGAATACTACGCAGCTGTAAAGAGGAAGGACCTTTTAGCCTTTGGCACAGCATGGAGGGAACTAGAAAGTATTATGCTAAGTGAAATAAACCAATCGGAGAAAGACAGGTACCACATTATCTCACTTATATGTGGAATATAATAAACAAAATAAACTGATGAACAAAATGGATCCAGAGACATAGAAGCATGGAACAAACTGAGGGATCTCAGAGGGAAGGCGGGGTGGGGAGAGGTTAATTTTTCTTAATGTAAAGATTAAAAAAAGTACAGAATATTCAGCACAGCGATGTTTGCTGTACAAAGCTTACTGTTACAAACATTGTTATAGCATGAAACTATTGAGTCTGATTAAATATATTATGATATAATCATATCATGGAGTATCATGCAGGCATTAAAATTATGCTGTGATTTATCTTCGTTGCACAGAAATCTAGCTGTAATATTAAGTGGGAAAAAATTACAAAATGGTAATTATTGTATAATTCCACTTTAGTAAAAGTAAAAATAGCTATAGGAAAAAAAGAAAATAAAGCTTAGGGCAAACTAAAAAAAAATAATAAAATGTTACCTCTAAGAAAGTATATTTTGGAAATCTTAAGCTAAAAGATGGAATCCTTGATGGAAATTTTCATATATCAGCAGGCCAGGGGTATATGTGGAGAAGAAATGGAATTCTATGTAAACTCTGAAGTCAATACCAAGTGATTGTTTATTTTGTCCATCTGATTCTTACCATTGTCTCCGTGAATCACTAGATCTCAGAGTGAAATACCGTGTATAGTGGCAGGCATCTCTCCATGAACATTAATTAGACGATAATAAAAATCAGGTTTTTTTATCCCACTGACCTGCTGATTGTTTTCATCTTTTGCCTAGAGAGCTGTCAGTCTTAAGGAAGGAGAATGGAGAACTAAAGAAATTTTTAGCTATCCTGAAGGTGAATGAAATTGATTTTCCTTATGATTTTCTCTCCTTTTTCCATCTATCTAGCAGATTTAATAGAATAGTGTTCCCTAACCTTTTTCACATATAACTAATAATATGTGTATAAGCACACTGTAGTAGATGGATGAGGCCACAGAAGACCTTGGAGGGCTGAAAAGATCAATATTTAACACAGTGGTAGCCATCCTTGAACATCACTGAGTCACAGCATACCATTTGGAAAGCTCTCTTATAGAAGAGGCATCTGTTATAACTTAAAATTTCTCTTCAAGAATCCCAAGACACCTCAAGACCCTTCCTGTGCCTCAAATTGTGTTTTCGAGACATTTGTCTCTTCCTAAGAATGTACTTTGTACATATATAATGTTCTTGATCATACTCCTGTAACTGTTCTAGCACATTGTAATCCTTTCATTTTTCTTTCTCTCCCCTATTTCCTCATGTATCTCAGTCTACAGGATTCCCAGTTTTTTATTATTTTATCTTTATTGTTGAAAATATTAAAGATGTCCCCTTTTCCCAATATGTTTTTATGAGGAGGAACTAAAATTTTATTCCCCCAAAGCTAAAATGTTCCTAAGGAAACGCTGCTGCTATCTTTTCTCCTATTGGAAGTCTTAGCAACCACAACTAGCAGACACTGAAGCTTAGGTATCTAACAAGTGAGATCCACTGATTAGGACCCTTGAGCTGCAGCTTCCTTCACTGCCATTTTTTTTCACTTACAGGAATCTCCAAGTTGGTACCAAGGAAGCAGGTCAGTTTTATCAGGCCCCATTCTAGACCTCTTTGAAAATTTCTGTTTTTTCTTGACCCTTGGTTGTAATTCCTATGTGCACTCTGAGGTGAAGGAAATGGTTGATGAACTTATCTTTCACTTCTCCAAGAGTTCTACTCACTGAAAAGTGCTGAAGTAAAATCTTGAAAGTAAAGCTAACCCTTGACCGTCACCTTATGAAATCTTACTCATCCTTCAGAATTCAACTCCCATGCCATTTCTTCTGTCAGGATTTCATTAGGCAGAGTAGGTGTTCTATTATTCATTTATGCAATAAATATTCATTAAGAGACCACTTTTGAGTGCTGGGTGTACATCACCAGTCATTCTAATTAGTAATGTCTGTACCCTACCAATTGTTCCTTTTTTTTTTTTTTTTAATATATTTTTATTGATTTCAGAGAGAGAGAAAGGGAGAGGGAGAGAGAGAGAGAAACATCAATGATGAGAGAGTCATTGATTGGCTGCCTCATGCATGCCCCACACTGGGCATTGAGCCCTCAACCCAGGCATGTGCCCTGACCCAGAATCAAACTGCGATCTCCTGGATCCTAGGTCAGTGCCCAACCGCTGAGCCACGCCCAGCTGGGCACCAGTTAAATATGTTTAATGTTAGCTCTGTATTGGTGGATTAAAAAAACAACAAAAAAACATGGCTCCTGTACTCACAGAAGTTACAGCCTAGTGTTCTTTCATACTTCTATACTTCTGATACGCCCATTATAACACTTAAACATTTGTTTATTTATTTGTTTATTTAGTCTCTCCCACTAGCCTCTGAGCCTCTCAGAGATAGGAATCATATTTTAGTATCTAGGATGTATAAGCACTAAATAAATGCTTGTTGGATAGATGGATGAGGGGATGGAGAGAATGAGGGAATGGTGGATATATGAATGAAAGGACAGATGGATAAAGTTGAGAGTATTTGGCAAGGCACTGAGGAAAGAAAGAATGAAAGGAGAACTTCAAAACTTCTCCTATTATGGGCAATAAAAGGGAGTTGGACAGCCAAGGGGTCTCATGGAAACTTCGCCTCCATATTTTGGGGTGATACCTGTTAATACATAATAATAAGTAATTTATTCTCAGAGTGGAAGCTATTTCTAGAAACAATGATTCGACTTATCCTCTACTGTGAAACTTAACTTCTACTTAGAAATAATAGAGCTGCCTTTTTTTTTTCCTTGCAGGCCAACCACACCTCGACCAGTGGGCATTACTTCTCCAACACAGTCAGGTAGAGAACATTTTTTTGCTCAAGTATCTGTGTAAGGTGAATAAATATTCTGTTCCCATATGGAAGATGCTTTCCTCTTGGAGACTATAATATGGTTTCCCTAACCTGTGTATGATATGAGAAGATCATACAGTCAAATACCCACTTGCAAAAGATTGGCTAGGCAAGAGCACACTATTGATGGCAACTTTTCACTCTGTACTTTCTTCTTTTTCAGTTACTCCAAGACCCAGTTCTCAGCATAGCAGCCAAGTGGTCAGGTGAGTAGGAAGCCTACGTAGCAACATTAAACTGTTGGCAAAAGTGGGAAGATGAAAGAAATACCTACATGTGGCTGAGTTAAGGACTAAGGAGATTTTGGGTCTATGTGAAAGTTTAACACCAGGTTTGCTTGTTTCCTTTTTGTCTCACCTTATACAGTCGGTCCTCCTCAGTGGAGTCTATCCCTTATAGAGTGGCTGGCTTTAATAGCGTGGGACAAGTAAGTAAGAGTTACCTTCTCTTTCCGGATTGAGATTTCTAATGCTAAATGAAAGCAAAGATTTAAGGCAAGAATATTAAACTTACGTTGATGTTGGCATAAATTATCTGATGCCATCCTGGACTTTCTTTTCTTTTGGCAAAGCAGACCTGATGTTAGAAGCTGATGCACTCAGATAATGAATAGGGGTGAAATAGTGGAAATGTTCAAGGACTAAGTTAACAGTCTGCCACGTTCATTTTGGAAGTAGTTTTGTTCTCACTCTCGGAGAACAAAATGTGTTTCAGTGTGTAGATATAGAGAAATAGCAAGGAGTAATGGAAGCCAGAAAACCAAGGTGTATTTATTAATTGATGTTCATTATTTGTCCATCAGGGAGCCAGAAGCCTTCAGGGAAGAAGCGCTCCCAGAGACTCTTATATTGGTGAGAGGAGAGGAAAAAACCGTGTCAGAAAACAAAATACTCTGTGTATACCCCAGCAGATTTCTGGTTTTCTATGCATAATATAATGGGATTTTACTTTGTTCCAGTGATTCCAGATATCTAGACATATATTATGACTTTTCAAATAATGATATTTCTGTTCTCAAACTGATAAGGGGGCGATAAAAATTTGAGTGATAGGAAGTCATTGGAAACCTCATCTAGTCAGATGGGTGAGTTAAATAATTAACTTGGATTTTTTTTTTTAATTGCCACAAGATGGCAGTAGAAGTTAGGTTTAAAAGGGAGGTTAACTAGATGCTGATTATGTTAGCCTGCAGGGTATCTGGCTTCTTCACTGTGTATTAAATGTTAAAATATTGCAGTGAAGAAATATTTTGGTTCCACCCACTTAATTTCTTGTCTCTTCCCCCTTAGAACTATTACTGTTATTACTATTTTCAAGGGCATTAGACAGTCCATAGAGAATACTTATCAGAGATTTCCCTTTCCAAAAAGGCAATTTTGAAATTCACAAATCTCTTTCTGGATAACAGTTTTGAACTTCACCAAATAGTCTCCCCCCAACTGTTTCATACTTACCTCTTTGAAAAATGTAGATGTTCTCACCAATTTATTTATGGTAGTTTTGTAGTAATATTCCCTCTTTCATTCCTGATTTTAGTTATTTGAGGCTTCCTCCCACCCCACCCCACCCCACCAGCCTGGCTAAATATTAATCAGTTTTGTTGATCATTTCAAAGAACCAAATATTAGAGCAGAAATAAAGATTAGAGCAGAAATTAGTGAACCTAGAGAAGAGAAAAACAGTAGAGAAAATAAACAAAATCAAAAGTTGGTTCTTTGACATATATGCTGAAAGTCTTTGATCCCTAGTTCCTTTGCCCTGACCCTGAGCATACTGAATCTCTTCTCCAGTTCATGGATTTTCTCACAGGCTCATTTTTATGCTTTCTAGAAACTCCTTCTCCAGCTTCCACTCACAGCCTATCTTACAGGTGAGTAATACTGTGCTTCCTTTCACTTGGGATCTGTTCACACTGACACTCTGCCAGCAGCCCTGGGGTTTCTTCTCCACTGGCCTGTACCACTGAAGTTTATAAGCTACCTTGTAAACAGTAGAGAAGCTTGCATGGTATTGTGTCTAATATACATCTGAATTACTTAATTTTATTCTCATTTGCAAGCTGGGTCTCTGGACTAAATGTATAGATTTTTTACATATGCTTTTTAACTTTATCTTTCCTTTGCTGATGCTTTTATTTCCCTTCCATAGAACTTCATCTGCCTCCTCTGGACTGGGGATTTTCTCTTTCAGACCATCCTTAAGTAGTGGGGATTCAGGCCACATACAAGTACTCACTCCCAACAATTCAGGTAAGTTAAGTAACATTCCCAAAGGATTGTAGCTTCAACCACTGACACATATACAATAAAATGAAAAATTTCAAGGTGAAAATAAGTTGTTCCTCCCACAAAAAAACATTGTCTTTAGTTTGACTTTTACTTTTTTTTCTTTTTTTTTTAATCCTCACCTGGGGATACTTTCTTCCATTGCTTTTCAGAGAGAGTGGAAGGGAGAGACACTGAGAGAAACATTAATGTGAGAGAGATACATCGATTGGTTGCCTCCTGCACTCGCCTTGACCAGGGCCAGGGATCAAGCCTGCAACTGAGGTACGTACCCTTGGCTAGAATCGAACTGAGACCCTTCAGTGCACAGTCTGATTCTCTGACTGCTGAACCAAACTGGCTAGGGCTCTAGGTTGAATTTTTAATATTCTGTAAGTTATTCCATTTCCTTACCATTGAAAGGAGGCTTTGCGTTTTGCCTAAATAGCACTCATCCTATCACCAGGTAAATTCTGCTCTTTAGCCAGAAGGTCAACCTGTAGAATTAAACTGCATCTCCCTCCTTCTCCTTTTTGAGATCCCTGTTTGAACACTGCTAGGAGCTCGGTTTTGAATGAGAATGATAAAGCCAGTATCCTATTTTCTCCCCATCTTTTTTAAAAAGGTACCTCTGCTACCAGTCCTCATGATAAAGGGCTGTCATCTTCCATAGCGCAACAAAATCTTTATATTGTTTCTACAACTTTCTACTTACAAAGTCAAATCTCTCTGTTCCCACAGGAAAGGAATGGACTTTATAAACCACTTTTTTTTTTTTTTTTTTTTTTTTTTTTTTTTTTTTTTTTTTTTTTTTTTTTTTTTTTTTTTGTTTTTT